CCTGGATGACCTGGAACAAGGTCGAAGGGCTAGAATTTCATGCAAGGATGAACACATAGACCATTACATTGATCCTAATTTTATACTTTCAAAAGCACAAATTTCAGCCATGATTGAAGAACTATGGTGACAGACTTGGTTTTGGCTCTCACCATTGAAGGCCTGTTCACTTCTTGTTTTTCCGCCGTGTTCTCAGAGTTAATTTGGATGACTGTCACACCAACAAAAGCACCTGGGGTGAACAGTGGGTGACAACACAGTAGACTCTCTCCTGTTTCCTAAACCAGAGTGGATGATAAGCTCAGACGCTCAGCATCTGGGCCCCTGTTTTGCTCAGAGTTTACGCTTAGCTCCCTCTGCAGTCCCTGTCACTGTGTCCCTCAGGGCACAGTAGTACACAGCCGAATCTGACACTTGCACTGAGGATTTCTTCAAGTGGAAAGAATTTGGTTCTTTGTGGTAGGTGGCTTCAAAACCTTTGCTGCTTCCCTTCTCGTTGGCTTTCAAGGCTTTCAGGAGGAGCTGTGGACCTTCTCCGGGATACTGGACACACCAGAAAAGGGCAGGGTACTGTGTGGTTTCATAAGAGCAGTTCACAGTCAGAGAAGCCCTCTCTGAGAGGGTCATTTGGCCTTCCATCTGGGTCACTGAATCTCCCTTGCTTCCTCCTGAAACAAAAACAAAACAGTAGTTCTGGTCACCTCAGGCATGATCTGGGTTCTACGTCTTACAGAAAATTGTAGTTAAAGATGACACCAATATAATGGAACGAAAAAGCTTTTAGGCTTTATGTGCCATCTTACCTACCAAACATTAATAACAGCACAAGCAGTGATCCTGGAGAAGAGATCATTTTTAAGATCTGTGGTGTCCTTGCGTCTTGACTGCTTAGTGGGAGAAAAAGTTAAGTTCACAGAGGAGGATGAGTGTGAGCTCAGAATAGAAGCAGGAAGTGTGTGTGTGTGTGTGTGTGTGTGTGTGTGTGTGTGTGTGTGTGTGTCTGAGAAAGGTAATAAACTCAGAGCCATGTTAACCTATGAACTTGTTCTCCTTTCAAGAGTCTTATATCTTTGCCTCTGGCTCTATTTTTATGACACCTGTTAGCTGTCAAGATGGTCCTTTGTAAATCTAAAGAATAGTTGGTATTTTTCCTAAATCTGTTTTTTCCTAGCACACTGCCTAACATGGAAGCTCCAAACTGAGACATTTCCAAGAAAAATTCTATTTTACTTTTTCTCTTTTAGCCATTTTGAGCCTCTTAGTGATACACTGAAATATTATGTAAGTTTTAGGTTAAAGTCAGAGGAATGTCAGTAACACATATTCAGTCGTTAATAGATTTGGGATGGAAGAACTTAAACTTTTTTTCACTACTCTATTCCCACACCTAAAACAATGTTGGACACTTAGCAGGTGGCCAACAAATTTCTTAAGTGCACAAATAAATGAATAGATGAATGGTTGAGGAATTCCTGCTACCCGAATTACAATATTGCTTCACATCTAAGACATCAATTATGAGACACACAATTTAATAAAAGCTTTCAAAAGGAAAAGGTAAATTTTATATTTATATACATTAAAAAGTAAAAAAAATATAACTCTGAATTGGAGAAATATGATTATTAAAGTTATTGAATATCCATAAAACTATCTGGCATTATTTTCTTCTCCCTTGGGATTTTAAGATTCTCAGATAATCTGATTGGTCTGTGTACATCAGGAAAAATGCTCTGACACTAAACTTTAAGTGGAAATTTTGCCTCAAGCATGCTCTCTGCATATGTCCATCTACCAACATTATTGGCCAATATAATATATATAAGTTCAACAAAATTGCTTTTACCACAGGATAGGATATGCAGATAATATGGATTTGCCTCAGAAAACAAAAGGATGAGCTCAATCTCAGCTTCTAGCGTTGGTAGGGACATGTCTGATGATATACAGAAACATTTTATAGCAAGGGTGAGACTTCTCTGTAAATACAAGTCAGTTGGGGGGCATCTGAGGGGCTCAGTCAGTTAAGCGGCCGACTCTTGATTTCAGCTCAGGTCATACTCATGGTTCCTGAGTTTAAGCCACAAGTTGGACTCTATGCTGACAGCATGGAGCCTGCTCAGGATTCTCTCTCTTCTCTCTCTCTCTCTCTCTCTCTCTCTCAAAAATAAACATTTAAAAAATAAAAATTAAATTAAAATTAAAAAAAACAGTTGGTCGTCAACTCAAAAGTACAAATTTGGAGAGCTCTCCACTTAAAAAAATTACAATCTCTAGAAGTTAGACTTGAGGAAGTTAAAAATCTCAAGTGGTTTGTGATGGAGCCAATATCAAACAAATTGACAACATAACCTTTAGGAACCCTGAACTAAGAGGACATTTGAGGTCTCTGTGAAGCATTTCTGGGGTCAGCAGGAAAAAACGCCTCCATTCTTCACAGAATTTTAAAACTGTTCTCTTTTCATGGTAGTATTGATGTCGCAGCTGCAAAAACAATTACTGCTTACTCTCACTATTATTGCCCATTCAACTTAGAACAAAAACTCCAGATGTTCCCAGGACATACTTAGAGAAAAGGATGCCTTCTATCCGTCAAGTCCCGTTAATATTTATCTTTGAACATGGAAGCCTATTTCAGTGTACTTCCTGGAAAACTTCCCCTCCATGAATTCAGAGAAGGCAGCTACATGGTCCTGTATCAAGCTATATGTAGTAACAAGCTTCAGATTCGGGTAGAAAATTTAGATCTGGATATTGTTTCAGTTCATAATTTCTTCTCTCTCTTCCTTTTCCCATCTACTCCATGTCACATCTCTGTGAGCAACCAGTGTCTCCCTCCTTTGTCCCTAGCCCTTTGTCTCATGCCTCTACCCTACTCCAGCTGGAGTCAAAGTAGAAATAACCCGCGAACAGTCTCGGCTTCCATCATTTCCTTCACTTATTCAAGTCAACCTTGCCCCTTGCTTTTGTTGTGTCGCAAAATGAGGAAATCTATCATCCATATCATGAGTTCGTAAGTAGAGGAATGTCATAGAGGAATTGTAGCAGTAGATTTGAGTGGAATGTGTCAGAACTGTGTGATCATAATGAAAATTGCTGAAAGCTAACTACTAGCTAATACTAGATTTTATTCAGACGTCCTGACTTCAAGAGCACAAGCTCTGCTTAAGTAACCTAGATTTACCCAAATGTATTAGTCAAAAGTCAGTCAGCAAAACAGAAACAAATCCAAATATTTTAAGTAGAAAGAAATTTAACACAGTGAATTAGACATATAGACATTGGAAGATCTGATGAAGCAAAGATGGCAAGACTGATGACCTGAAACTCTGAAGTATAGTATTGCAGAAATGCTTCTCAATTATAGAACTTAAACTAGATGATAAAAGAAAGGGATTGTGGGAAATGTAGTTTGGGTTTCTCCTCAGCAAAGTGGGGAAGTGTATTATAAAGGGATAAGGAAGGGGCACCTGGGTGGCTTGGTCAGTTAAGTGACCAACTCTTGATTTCAGCTCAGGTCATGATCTCATGGTTCATGGGATTGAGCCCCATGTCAGACTTCGTGCTGACAGTGCAGAGCCTGCTTGGGATTCTCTCTCTCTCCCTCTCTCTCTCTCTCTCTCTCTCTCTGTCTCTGCCCCTTCCCTGCTCATGCTCTCTCTCTCTCTGTCTTTCACTCTCTCAAAATAAATAAACTTTAAAAAGATAAAATAAAAATAAAGGGATGAGAAAGATCTGATGGACAGCATACAGAGCAGTACTTCTGTTAACTCAGTCCTTATGTAAACCTAGAGGCACTAGCTGAACTGTGTTTTGTAATCAGAACTCTGCAGTAATTAGACCAGATAGCAGCTGAATGTGGAGTATGACCCCTATAACATTTCATAATTGTCATTTAGAATTTTTGTCACTTTTTTCAAAATAGGGGGGCTGAACATGAAAAGAACCACCACACATGAAGAGCAGGAGTTAAGCTAATGATAAATACATTGCCTTCTATTATTACATGAAAGTCTTAAGCCTTTATTTAAAAAACCTCACAGTGAGTTTAGAATTCTTCACTAATTGAAGCTCCTGAAGTTAAGTTTTTCTTGTCCTGTCAATTCCTCACAGATTTATTGTCTATTTGCTAAAAACTCTAAATGTTGCCTGCCTTGGTCATTTCTTTAGATTTCAATTTCATTAGTAGGCCTCCATGGGCAAGTAATAAAATTCTGGATTTTTTTCTCCTGTTAATGTCTCGTGTAAATTTAATTATCTGTCCAGCTGGAAGAAGCTTGGACCAGGAAAATTTCTTCCTCCCCTTCAAATGCCAAACGGTAAGAAACAATTTTTAACATTCTAACGGTAAACTCATTTGAAAATAGAACAACAGTAAAAAAAAAGAAAACAATGACATCATTTGTCAGAAAATTGGCCAAAGTTACTATCCCACCAATTTTGAAGATTTCTGATACAGATTTGTAGAATTTAAGATATCAAAACAATGGAAACCTGTCATTATAATTGGTAAAAATAGACGATCTTAACTTTAAAATAAGTAGAATCTGGCATCTAGATTGTCTCCTGCACCCTTAACAGTCCTTGAAGAAATGCTAAAAAATATGCGTTATTCACTATTCTTTCTGCAACATTCCTGGTAAGTTGCTAAAAATCTCCATAAGTACACTGTATTCTGAGCTACTCACCACCCCAATCAACTCCTCCCTCCTAGATGGGTGCCTAAAAATGAGGGGAAATACCAGCGCAGAGTGGATCCAGGAAGAAAGATTCCAACAAAATGATCTTAAAATTACCAAGTTGGGAAGGCAGTAAGTTTGTAAGAAGGAAATAAGCTACGAAAGGAGTTCACCTTGTTCAGTTTATTGAAAGATACAATTATGAATGAAAAGTAAAATGCTCCCGTGCTGTGTCCCAACTCCCATATCCAACCGGTTGGAGCAGATCTGCCCCCACACTTGCTCAGCCAGTCCCTGAACGCCTCTGTACTGTGTGTCCTACTATGTCAGAATCCAAAACCTTTCAGATGCACTTAGCCTCCTTAGTGCCTCAAGAGGTTTGTGTTCAGCTCCCCCTGCAGTCCAAGGTACTGTGTCACTTGCAGCACAAAAGTACTTGGCCGAGTCGCTCCAGTGGGCCGAGTGTTTCCTCAGATGGAAGGAGGTTTCATTCTTCCTAAATTCAGCCTGAAAACCTTTGATGCCTTGAACCAGGACATTTGGTGGCCCTGAAAAGTACTTGAGGAGAAGCTGGAGTCCTTGGTTGGGGTACTGCACATACCAGAAGAGATTAGGAGTTGCCCCATAGGAGTAGTTGCACCTCAGCTCCAGATGGGCTTTTTCAGAGACAGTGACATGGCCATCAAGCTGGGTCACTGACTGGGCACTGGTGTCTCCTGCAAAATCAATGCTGTATCAGTGAAAGCGGTGCAGACTCAGTCTATGAAAAGTATTTCTACTAAAATTTGAGTAAGAAAAGTTACTTATGGTAGAACAAGGGACCATAATAGGATATTACTCACTCAGGGAAAAAAGCATCCCCAGTACTGGGATGAGCAACAGGAGCATGGCTGAGCAGTGAAGACACGGCAGGCTTCTTTCTGGAAGATCTCCCCTGAGCAAGCAGGAAAGCGGCTGTGGAACCCAGCTCTTGGAAATAGGAGATGTGAGTAAGGTTGAACTAGATAAGTCCCTTGTTTAGGTAAAAATACAAGAACTTCTTAGATGATCTTGAGTATTTTCTGACCTCTGAATATCTCACTTGTCTTAACCTCAAAGAACTCAAAAAGCGGGCTTCAGCCCCCTAGCTCCAGGGAGGAGGAGCGGAGGGGAAGGTGCTGAGAGCTTCAGCACCTCTAGTTTGTGCAACATCGCCCACTGGAGGCCAGACACAGGACAGAGGCTCCAGACAGCCTGCGAAGCTAATCTGTGCTTCCCTTCTATTTAGAGACACATCAAAAACTTCCACTGAACAGATTTTCTTTCTTCCCTAACATATAATATATTGTCTTCTGTAGTTGGTAATATTAATCCTTGTCTCTGTGAATAATAGGGCCTGTAAAATAGAGGAGTAATTTACAGAGAAACTGATTATACAGTAAGACTATCAGACTTCAGAATGCATCAGAGCTTCCAGTAGTAGCTGTGGAGTCATTTTTTTTTAATTTTTAAATGTTTATTTATTTTTGAGAGAGAGAGAGACAGAGCATGAATTGGGGGGGGGGGGGGGGGGGGGGTTGCTGCAGAGAGAGAAGGAGACACAGAATCCAAAGCAGGCTCCAGGCTCAGAGCTGGAGCTGTCAGCACAGAGCCTGACGCTGGGCTGGAACTCACCAACTGTGAGATCATGACCTGAGTCTGAGTAACTGACTGAGTCACCCAGGCGCCCTGGAGACATTCTGTAAGCAGAGATAATCAGATTAGTGTCCCCAGGCTGAGCTTTGGATAGCCTTACTGGCAGTAAGCCTCAGGCTGAGAAGCCGATATAGTAGGATGCTAGAATCAAGACATCCGCAGGACTGCTTCTTTTCTGAAAACTCTGGGGGTAAAATTGGTTTTTTACATTTCCCAGGTTCTAAAGGCTGCCCACATTCCTTCACTCATGGTCCCTTTTTCCATCTTCAAAGCCAGCAGTGCTTCATCTTTGATCATTCATCCAGAGTCCCATTTCCCTCTAACCAGTACAGGGAAGTTTCTCCGATTTTAACTACCCATGTGATTAGACTGGATCTACCTGAATAATCCAGAGTGATATTCCTATCTCAGAGTCCTTAACCGAACCCTCTCTGCAAAGCAATTGATTAAAAAACAGACCAATTTAGGGGCTCCTGAGCGGCTCAGTCTGTTAAGCTTCCAACTCTTGCTTTGGGCTCAGGTCATGATCTCACAGTTTGTGAGTTCAAGCTCTGCATCAGGCTCTGCGTGGACAGCTGTAAACCTGCTGGGATTCTGTCTCCCTCTCTCTGAGCCTTGCCCTCTTGCTCTCTATCTCTCTCTCAAAATAAATAAAAATAAACTTAAAAAAAAAAAACAGACCAACTTAAACAATGACACAAACGGTACCTAATAGGTGCACAATCCTTCACTCATATGGTATGAAGGGACAGCAAAGAGGATTAGCCATAAGTAGATGTAGGGGCCACCAAGGGTAAGCTGCCTCAAAATGTACCATTTGAGCATGTTGATTATTTTAAATAAAGATTACTGAAGAGAGCCTGTGCAAGAAGGACACTCTTGGGGTACCTGGCTGCCTCAGTTGGAGGAACGTGCTACTCTTGATCTTGGGGTTGAGTGCGAGCCCCACATTGGGTATAGAGATTATTTAAAAATAATATCTTTTAAAAAAAGAAAACAGGGGCGCCTGGGTGGCGCAGTCGGTTAAGAGTCCGACTTCAGCCAGGTCACGATCTCGCGGTCCGGGAGTTCGAGCCCCGCGTCGGGCTCTGGGCTGATGGCTCAGAGCCTGGAGCCTGTTTCCGATTCTGTGTCTCCCTCTCTCTCTGCCCCTCCCCCGTTCATGCTCTGTCTCTCTCTGTCCCAAAAATAAATAAAAACGTTGAAAAAAAAAATTTAAAAAAAAAAAAAAAAAAAAAAAGAAAACAGAAAAAAACAAAGGACACTCAGACCCTCCTCTGTCCCCCTGAAAGCTGGAAATAAATCTCCCATGTGAAAGGCGCCCTTCCTATACCAAGAGGTAAAGAGACATCTTATCACCAGAGATAGGAAATTAATGGACAAGGATGCTGTATAAACAACGCTTGTTACTTTTTACTAATCTACTGCCCAGGCCAAATTCCACTTAGAATTCCTTACTAATTGAAGCTCCTAAGGTAAGGAGTTTCTCCTTTGTTGTCAATGCCTCACAGATTTATTGTCTCTTTGTCTAAAAAGGATATAAATGCCTCCCTTGGTCATTTCTTTCAGTCTCAATGTAACTGTTGGACCTCCATATGCATATAATAAAACTCTGGGGTTTTTCTCCTGCTAATCTGTCTCATGTAAATTTAATTCTTGGTCCAGCTGGAAGACTTTCAAGGGGAGAGAAAGAATTTTTCCTTCCTTCACAGTACAAATGATAAATATCAAAGCAAAACCAAACAAAAAGTCAGAAAACCTGACACATAAGGAAACAAAATTCCAAGAATGAAAAAGACTGTTCAAAAATATCTAAATTAACTTGTCTTGAAAAAAATTCAACAGCAAAGTTTCAACGATCAAGAAGAGCTCCTGGAAACTAAAAATATTGTTGCCAACCCCTTTTTAAAAATCAGAAGTGCCTGGGTGGCTCAGTCAGTTAAGCGCTGGACGCTTGATCTTTGCTCAGGTCATGATCTCACGATTCATGAGTTCGAGCCCCCTGTTGGGCTCTGTACTGATAGTGAGGAGTCTGCTTAGGATCTCTCTCCCTCTCTCTCTGCCCTTCCCCTACTCGAGCGCGCGCGCTCTCTCTCTCTCTCAAAATAAATAAGCTTAAAAAAAAAAAGAAAAGAAATACAGAATTGCACCAAAACCCCCCTGCCTTCTCTTTGTCACCCCACTCCACCTTCAGATGTCTCTGAAATTCCCTAACCCAAAAGCTATCTGGTTCAAAGCAACCAGAGAGACTGTCTTCAATTGTTTTCTATGTTTGAGGGTAGCTTGTAGTCTAGTCTTTCCAATCCTTCTGTTTCTTTTCCACCTGCCCTCTACACCTGGTACCATTTTCCCAGAGTGTAACTGGTGCTTCAATTTGTTGGGCATTCCCAGAATGCTGCAGCATAAATAGAACTGCCTCCTGTTGGCTTTCCTACTGCAGCCACATATTTTCTCTCTGCCAAACCCCTTATCTCTTCTCCACTTGCTTTCCATCCTTGAAACATCATCTTGATGTCTCCTGTGCTGTCACCATCTTTCCTGGTTGCTTTGTGCTTGTGTGCTTATATATTTTGTGAAATTCTTTTTTTTATTATTTTTTATTTATTTGTTTATTTTAGAGAGAAAGAGAGAGTATGCAAACAGGGGAAAAGGGCAGAGCGGGGAAGAGAGACAGAATCTTAATCAGGCTCCATGCTCAGCACAGAGCCCATCATGAGACCATCACAGAGCTCAGTCCCACGACTCTGGGATCATAACCTGAACCAAAATCAAGAGTCGGGCACTCAACCAACTGAGCCACCCAGGCGCCCCTTGAAATTCTTTATTAACATTTTAGTAGACTTTCAGGAGGCTGCAGAGAGAAACGTGAATATTCAATCAACTGTGTTCAACCAAAACTCTGAAACTTACTTATTTTTTTATTGTATATCTTCTTGCTGTCTTTCAGGTTTTTTGTTTACCAGGCACATAGATTGTTTTTTCTATAAAAAGGAATTTTAAACTTGTAAACCAAGAAGGAAGAACTAATAATTTTAGAATTGAAATGAGAGAAGGGTTATTGCTTCAGCTCATTCATAACACTGACAGAGAGGGCCAGTGAGAAAAGGAAACATTAGAAAAGACTCCTGGAAGGGAATGGAGGAAAAGAGAAAGTGAAAGGGGAAAGGACCCTTCACTGCAATTGACATTTTCAGTATCTTTCACAGCTGCCTTCCACTGCACTTCCTGAGTTACTGAGACACACTGAATGCCTCTGTCAGTCTTCTCTCTAACAAGGCCCCTTCTCCCTGAAAATCAAATTATTTTTATGGGTCAAAATAAAATAATAAATAAGTAACTATTCACCCAGTGACTGCAATATATGAGGGAAGCGACCCCCATATGTGAGGAGCCCCCAGGACTAGATGCAATACAATCCAAAGTTCCCTTTTCTTTCTTCTCCACTCTTTTCATCTACCCACCCTATTACCTTTCACTTCTTCATTAGTCTCCTTGAGGATAACAAAAAGAGTTAACCTCTTCTGGATAAGGAAAAGAGTCGAGGGAGCTATGTGATTTCCCCCAACCACCATTCCTGAACTGTGATCTGATGAAGAATGTAAACCTGACCGTTTTTTCTCTTCAGATGATACAGACACTGCCCCCTCTGTCTCAGGTTGCTTTAAGAAGCCGGCTAATCAAGATATAGTAGGGAGGAGAAAAAGAGGGCAGGGAGTGTGCACAGGATTTGGACATGAGCCATTTCTTCCAGTATGTGCTTGTGTCTACTTCTTTGGAAAGCAGCAGTCCATGACTGCTATTTTGTTTGCACCAAAAGAAACTATGATAAATATAATTTTCCTTCCATTCTTCTTGTACATGTGGGAACTGTTTCTCCCTCCTCCCTTTCATTCTTTCTGTAAGAGCCAGTTGCTTTGGTATTTGGTATTTTCCTCTGTTCCCTAGGAAATAACCCTCTCTGTGTCAGGAGGACGTTATGCAGATGCAACCCCATCTATCTCACGCTGTGTCTCTAAAGAGAAAATCATATACATCTCTAATTGGGGGGATACCCTTGACCAAAGTCACAGGGTTGGACTTTGTCTGGAAGAAGGAGACAGAGATCATGTCATTGATTTTTTTTTTTCTTTTTCAAGTTTTTATTAAAATTCCAGTTAGTTAACATAGTGTATATTAGTTTCAGGTGTAGAATTTAGTGATTCATCACGTACCTATAACAC